CCTGAACGCATCACCTGACTGTAGACCAATGACTGTAAAACTGTGCAGTCACTTGTAGAGATTGGGAGTGGCCGGTTTGCTTTTCAGGTAGCTCGTTGTTTTTTGCAGGTAACCAGGAGGTGCAGCAGGTAAAATTTCCGGTTCAGAGAGAAATCTAGGTGAGCTTTTTCTCATTTATTTATCGTCTTTCATTGCAGCACATTAGACACTGTTCATTTAGAGTTGATTAGAGATGGTTACTTCTATCCTGAACTCCTTATTAGTCTTACAGTTTATCTACTTTTCCAGTCTTTATCATAATCAGTTTGCTGAGTATCCTGCTGGAGCCGCTTCTCTGTAAACTGTGTGACTCCAGTAATAAGAAGTATCACAGGCTGAAGGGTTTATTTGCTTTCTGTTTAGCAGATATTCATATAGACAAGCCCAGATGTGACAACAGGGCAATGATTTTGAATCATATGGTTTACTGAGGTATTGCAGCAAACATGAGAAAATAAGAACTCCCCACAAAGACTCCGATATCCTGTATTTTCAGGGACTGATGGATTAATAGGTGAATTTTACAGAATAGTGCATACGCTCATTGTACATAAAACGTTCACGTTTAAGTCTATGTTTAATGCTACAGCATATAAAGACAGTTAGTGAATGTGCTGTTGCTGTTTTGCAGACAAATTATCTGCAGACATCATGGGATCTTTATTGGTAAGACATGTTCTGTGTTTTTTATCATCATCATTATTATTATATCAGTAAGGGTTTGACTTATTTAACGTGCTCTGCAGGATGACTTGGAAAGCCTCGTGGATGCTCCTTCCTCTTTCTCAGCAAAAGTAGGTCAAACTAACCCTTTACCCTCGTGTCAGGTGTCGCCAAAGGGCTTATGATTACGGAAATTACATAAAAGAGCAAAATAAATGCTGACAGGTGAATGTATCTGTGCTCTTCAGGGTGGAGAGCGAGGAACCATCAAGCCCAAAGCAAACTTTGATGCAGAGCAGGATGCTGCAGCTCTGAAAAAGGCCATTGATGGATTTGGTACGAATGCACACAGTCATGTTTTCGTCATTTTAAAGTACTATCAATACATTTTTGATAAAGTAAACTTTACAAATTGAGGTGATTATTAGATTAAACCTGAAGGTTGCTAGCATAGTTAACACGCTGCGTTCCTTGTTCCTTTTATTGTGTTTATCAGTCTGACTCTTTGCTTTTCATTTGTAATGTCTCAGGCACGAATGAGAAGATTGTGATTGAGATTCTGACCACCAGAAGCAGCGCTCAGCGACAGCTCATCTGTAAAGCTTATGAAAAGGCCACCAGCAGAGTACGAAAACAAATCTGTTTCCTTTATTAAGACTCCACCTGTTTCTTATTATGAAGGAACAGGCTAAGAAATAGTTTATTGATGTCAATGTTCATTAAAAAATTAATGATAATGAAAAGAGTTGTAGAACAGCAGGGTTAAAGAAATTGGACCTCACTGTTTTTGGAAATGCAAACATCAGGCAGCTTTTGTATTCTTATAATAACATGACTGCTGTGTGCCTGATGGCATTTGTACCTCTGTGTTGAACACAAATAGTTCCTTTTTCATCTTTAACATAACAGGTGAGTATCGTGGTTTATGTGTTTAGCCAGATAAGTCTCTGTTTAACTTACAGGGTGGAGATCTGTGGGTATTTACATAGGTGTGGTTTAATGCTGCAGGATCATGTGTGCTAGTGTCTGAAAACTCACTGGGCTGTG